TGCCCAAACAAAAAAGAATTTACCTTCTTCTCAGCACCTCATGGAACCTTCTCCAAAATAGACCACATAGTTGGTCACAAAGCAAGCCTCAACAGATACAAGAAGATTGAAATAATCCCTTGTATCCTGTCTGATCACCATGGAATAAAGCTGAACCTCAATAACAACAGAAATAGCAAAAAGCCTACACATACATGGAAACTGAACAACTTGCTACTGAATGACAGCTGGGTCAGGGAAGAAATAAAGAAAAAAATTAAAGTCTTCCTAGAACTCAATGAAAATGAAGACACAACATACCCAAACTTGTGGGACACAATGAAGACAGTGCTAAGAGGAAAGTTTATAGCACTAAGTGCCTTCAAGAAGAAATTTGAGACAGCACATTCAAGCAACTTAATGGCTCACTTAAAAACCCTAGAAAAAGAAGAAGCAGACACACCAAAAAGGAGTAGACAGCTGGAAATAATCAAACTCAGGGCTGAAATCAATCAATTAGAAACAAATAAAACAATTCAAAGAATAAATGAAACCAAGAGCTGGTTCTTTGAGAAGATCAACAAGATAGACAAACCCTTAGCCAAGCTAACTAAAAGGCAGAGAGACACCATCCAAATAAACAAAATCAGAAATGAAAAGGGGGACATAACTACAGACACTGAGGAAATCCAAACAATCATTAGGACTGACTTCAAAAGTCTATATGCAACAAAATTTGAAAATCTAAATGAAATGGACAATTTTCTTGATCGACTCCACTTACCAAAGCTAAATCAGGACCAGGTAAGTCAATTAAATAGTCCTATATCCCCCAAGGAAATAGAAGCAGTCATCGAAAGTCTCCCATCCAAAAAAAGCCCAGGACCTGATGGTTTCAGTGCAGAATTCTACCAGACATCAAAAAAGAGCTAACTCCCATTCTCTTCAAACTATTCCACAAAATAGAAACAGAAGGAACATTACCAAACTCATTCTATGAAGCCACAGTCACCTTGGTACCTAAACCTCACAAAGACCCAACAAAGAAAGAAAATTTCAGGCCAATCTCCCTTATGAACATTGATGCAAAAATACTCAACAAAATACTAGCAAACCGAATACAAGAACACATCAAAGATATCATCCACCATGACCAAGTAGGCTTCAACCCAGGTATGCAGGGGTGGTTCAATATATGGAAATCCATCAATGTGATCCACCATATTAACAAACTGAAAGGAAAAAAAAAAAAAACCACATGATAATCTCCCTAGATGCTGAAAAAGCATTTGACAAAATCCAACATCCATTCATGTTTAAAGTATTGGAGAGATCAGGGATACAAGGCACATATCTAAACATAGTAAAGGCGATATACAGCAAGCCTATAGCCAACATCAAACTGAACGGAGAGAAACTTAAAGCAATCCCACTGAAATCAGGGACAAGACAAGGCTGCCCACTCTCTCCATATCTCTTTAACATAGTTCTGGAAGTCCTTGCTAGAGCAATAAGACAGTTGAAGGAGATCAAGGGGATACAAATTGGAAAGGAAGAAGTCAAATTATCACTATTTGCAGATGATATGATAGTATACGTGAGTGACCCCAAAAACTCTACCAGGGAACTCCTACAGCTGATAAACACCTTCAGCAAAGTGGCTGGATACAAAATTAACTCAAAAAAATCAGTAGCCCTCCTATATACAAAAGACAAAAGGGCTGAGAAAGAAATTAGGAAAACAACACCCTTCACAATAGTCACAAATGACATAAGGTACCTCGGAGTAATCCTAACCAAGGAAGTCAAAGACTTGTATGAAAAAAATTTCAAGTCTCAGAAGAAAGAATTAGAAGAAGATATCAGAAGATGGAAAGATCTCCGATGCTCATGGCTTGGCAGCATTAACATAGTAAAAATGGCCATCTTACCAAAAGGAATCTACAGATTCAATGCAATTCCCATCAAATTACCAACACAATTCTTTACAGACCTGGAAAGAAAAATTCTCAACTTCATATGAAATAACAAGAAACCCAGAATTGCTAAAAAAAAAAAAAAAAAAAAAAAAATCCTCTACAATAAAAGATCTTCTGGAGGTATCTCCATCCCTGATCTTAAGTTGTACTATAGAGCAACAGTTTTAAAAACTGCATGGTACTGGCATAGCAACAGAATGGTAGATCAATGGAACTGAACAGAGGACCCAGAAATAAACACACACACTTATGGACACCTGATCTTTGACAAAGATGCCAAAACCATACAATGGAGAAAAGATAGCATCTTCAACAAATGGTGCTGGTCCAACTGGATGTGTACATGTAGAAAAATGAAAATAGATCCATACTTATCACCCTGCACAAAACTGAAGTCCAAGTGGATCAAAGACCTCAACATAAAAACAGACACATTAAATCTGCTAGAAAAAAAAGTGGGGAATACCCTAGAACTCATTGGTACAGGAGAAAACTTCCTGAACAGAAAACCAACAGCACAGGCTCTAAGAGCAACAATCAATAAATGGGACCTCATGAAACTGAAAATCTTCTGTAATGCAAAGGACACTGTCATCAAAACAAAGCGACTGCCTACAGATTGGGAAAGAATCTTCACCAACCCTTTATCTGACAGAGGACTCATATCCAGTATATTTAAAGAATTAAAGAAGATGAAAAGCAGCAAACCAAGTAATCCCATTAAAAACTGGGGAACAGAGCTAAACAGAGAATTCTCAATAGAGGAATATCGAATGGCAGAGAAGCACTTAAAGAAATGCTCAACCTCACTAGCCATTAGGGAAATGCAAATCAAAACAACCCTGAGATTTCACCTTACACCCATGAGAATGGCCAAGATCAAAAACTCAAGTGATAGCACATGCTGGAGAGGTTGTGGAGAAAGGGGAACCCTTCTCCACTGCTGGTGGGAATGTAAACTTGTACAACCACTCTGGAAATCAATCTGGCGCTTTTTCAGAAAACTAGGAATAGCACCTCCTCAATATCCAGCCATACCACTCCTAGGCATATATCCAAAAGAGGCTCAAGTACACAAAAAGGGCATTTGCTCAACCATGTTTGTAGCAGCTTTATTTGTAATAGCCAGACACTGGAAACAACCCAGATGCCCCTCAACTGAAGAATGGATGCAGAAATTGTGGTACATCTATACAATGGAATATTACTCAGCAATGAAAAATAAGGAAATCATGAAATTTGCAGGTAAATGGTGGGACCTGGAAAGGATCATCCTGAGTGAGTTGTCCCAGAAGCAAAAAGACACACACGGTATATACTCACTCGTATAGACATACAACATAGGACAAACCCACTAAAATCTGTGCATCTAAAGAAACTAAGCAAGAAAGAGGACCCTAACTAAAACTCTCAATCCCCATCCTGAAAGGCAAAGAGGATGGACATCAGAAGAAGAAGAAAACAGGAAACAACCTAGGATCCTGCTACAGAGGGCCTCAAAGCCAGAAGAAGAAAACAGGAAATAAACTAGGAACCTACCACAGAGGGCCTCTGAAAGCCTCTGCCCTGCAGACTATCAAAGCAGATGCTGAGCCTGATGGCCAACTGTTGGGCAGAGTGAATGGAATTTTATATAAGAAGTGGGAAATAGTAAGAGCTGGAGGGGACGGGAACTCCACAAGGAGAGCAACAGAACAAGAAAATTTGAACACAGGGAACTTTCCAGAGACTCATACTCCAATCAAGGACTATTCAAGGAGATAACCTAGAACTCCTGCACAGATGTAGCCCATGGCAGTTCAGTGTCCAAGTGGGTTACATAGTAATGGGAAGAGGGACTGCCTCTGACATAATCTGATTGGCCTGCTCTTTGATCACCTTCCCCTGAGGGGGGAGCAGCCTTACCAGGCCACAAAGGAGGACAATGCAGCCACTTTTGATGAGAACTGATAGACTAAGATCAGAAAGGAGAGGGGGACCTCCCCTATCAGTGGACTTGGGGAGGGGCATGCATGCAGAAAGGGGAGGGAGGGTGGGATTGGGAGGGGAGGAGGGAGGGGCTTATGGGGGATACAAAATGAATAAAGTATAATTAATAAAAAATAAAAAAACAAGTTAAAAAAATAAAAGAAATTCTACCTGATTTAGGTGACAAAAAAAAAAAAAAACAACTCTACTGAAATAGGAATCATTCTCTTCATTTTATACTTGAGTAATTTGAAGCCAAAATATAAAATTAAACCATAAAAATACACATGGATGTTATATGAAAGAGATGAATATATTCTTGGCTACTGGAACTTTGGCCGATGTGTCTTTCCACCAAAAGGCATAATGTGATTTGATATGCAAGATGCAAAATAGCACAGCTAAAGTGAACTTATAACACAGTTATGGCCATGTAAATGGAAAGTGAAAATTGTGTGAGGAGGAAAGTTGCTTTAGAGGACAGCTGCCTATCTAACGTCCTGTTTGTATTAAGTTATTTATTTACTTACGTCTCGATTGCAGCTTAACCTGTTGCCCTAAATTTTTATGTGGTTCTCTCAGGATTGTTTCACCTGTGGACTCTTAATGTCCAGAATGTCATGTTCTACTCAAATTTCCTGTAATTTTCATAGCATATATTAAGTGTTCCTTGTGATAGACCTTATGCTATTTATACTGTACTTTCTTTTTAAAAAAGGAAAACAAAGATAGAAACAGAAAAGGAGAGAAAGAGCAAGAAGGGAGGGAAGAAAGAAGGAAAAAAGAGGGAGGAAGAAATAAAAGGAGAAAGAAAAACCATCTATTAATGCTCATGACAATTTAAAAAGGTTAGAGAAAAATTTCCTGAATTTAGTCACTTAGCAGATGGAAGACTACAGGACAGCATGTACTCTGGGTTCAAAACTTACCCTTTAACAGCTGAAGTTTCTTGCCTTTACATATAAACAAGTCAGGCAGTAAAACTGTACACTTTCTCTTTGAGAAAGGACTTTGAGTGTTCTGTAGCCAAAATACTTTCATTCACAAAACCAGTTAACAAATAAGTGCACCAACCTTCACAAAGCTGTGCCGACACTGGCTGTCACTGCTGGGGATTCGGAAATTGCTATCAAAGCTAATCTCCCAGTGTTTGCTTTCATGAGTGATGGCTCTCCAGGAGCATCTGCTGTTTGCAGGGTATGTCTGAGGCCAATGAGGCGATTTGATCGTACCATTGTCTGAATGGAATGTTCCACCACAGCCTGAAAGATTTCCATAGAAAAAATGATCACTCTTCAAGATAAAATATCAAAATTGGAAATCAAAGATGGCTAGAGAACCTTTCTAAGTATGAGGTCATAGATCATCCTTTCTTGTTTCTGAGTCATCTTTGGGGCAGGGACTAAGCAGGTGCCCATAATGATGTGCTTTGAATGGAGGGCTGTCACTGTTTTGGTATACTTAGCCCAGCTGAGATCACATGATCTGAGCCTTGCAGAACATAGCAGATAAACCCCTATCCCATCTTCAAACAAGGGAACTTTTCTACTTTCTTTAAGACTGTAATAGGAAGGGAGCAGGATATAGCTGGGATACAGAGTTAATAAAATGTAACTAATAATAATAATAAAAAAGACTGTACTAGGTGGCTAGCCAGGCTGCACTCACTCTGCATGTTCTTATTGAAAGCACACGAGAATACAGCTGTGTGAGGGCTTGTCATTTTAGTCTACAGCAATGAACTAGAAAAAATGATATTCTGAACTGGGGAAGGTCCTCCCACTAAGTAACCTTGTTCATTCATATTGAAACTGATTTATGGTTCTGAATAAATCATAGGAATATGAAGAAAGAAAAATCTGGAATTGTTTTTATAAAATTAAAACACATACTTAGGAAATGAAAGAGAAAAGTATGAATTCAGAACAGGTTAGAGTTAAATTAAGGGACATTGCACTAATCTTTTGCCTTTGAGCCAGTGGTTTGGCTATAGCTCTCTGATGAATCAAGAGCAGCTAATGGTTTAATGAGCAGTTGGAATCATTCTACAAAAATCTTCATGTTAACCAACCCTGCTACAGAGAATCCCATGATTGTTAGGATTTACTGAAATTCTGAATAAGCAGCCAATAAAAATACTTATATTTTCTGAGAATTTTCACAAGGTTTATATTACATAAGTGTAATGCTACTTTTAAAAACCAAATCTGTTTTCTTCTTTTGATTCTGGGTCCATAGCAGCCTTTTAAAATTCTATTTCACAAATTTCATCTGTTCACCTTTCTCCTTAAACTCCTCAGTCACACACCATGTCTACGACAATGCCTAAACTAAGATTCTTCATGATGTAGACTCTGGCTCAGGTCTCTGAATACTCTGCATGTTAGCTTAGAGTGAGACTATTTGTCTCTTGTCATTATCCCCCAGACAATATGGGATGTAGCAACTATATACATCACATTTATATTGTATTACGAATACAAATAATCTAGAGATCATGTTTTCTGGAGGACAGTCATACATTACCCACAGTACTAACATCATTGTGCAAGAAATGCCAGCATTTGTAGATTTGGGTATTACGTGAAGACCTGGAACCCCACTTCAGGAATGATATACTTTAAATTAGTTAACAACAAAAAAATGTGTCACTGAAAAATAAATGTTAAGTATAGAGAAGATTATTATTTTTTTACCTAAAGTGCTTGTGCTCCATGTTGCATAAAATCCACGGCTTTGCACTTGGCGGTTTGTGCTAAAAGTCACCATAAGCTTGTTGGAACCAGACTGTGCTGGCGGAGGCACTGACCACCCACAGTACTTTCCAATGATGGGTGACTCAGGGAAACCACCATTCCTGACTATGACCGAGTCCCCAGAGCAGGTTGAATGCTCCTCAATCTGAAAGTCACTAAATGTGAGCTGCAGAAGAGAAGAGACACTATGAGCCACGGCTTATGCGAGCTGTAAAGGAGCCTATCTACCTCAGGCAGACAACGTTTCTACAAATGTTTCCGTCTAAGTCACATAGTTTTGTATTTCTGATTCTTCTTTAATTCTTCTCTCACCTCCACTCTGTTTTCTTTACTAAAAGTTCTGTGAATTTAGAAAGAGTGCATTTTTCCAAGAAGTGAAGTCATTTGGGGGAACCCCAGCAACCTGTTAGTCTGAAATGACAGCTCATGTTGATAGAAAACAAATGTATCTGATTATAAAAGCAAAGCCTACTCTAATGACTTACACACACACACACACACACACACACACACACACACACACACACCATTACCCCAATCCAGTCCTGCAAACAATTAACCCAGCTCTAAGAACTCACAGTGATGGTGTGCCCTTCTGGGGCTTCCAGCAGCCATGAGCAGTGGGTCCATCTGTTATAAAACTTTGGATAGTTAGGACTTGAGAACACTCCGTTTTCACCTGTCTGTATTCCACCACAATCTGAAATTAGATATGTAAACCTTTAAACAGGAGAGAAGAAAAAACTCACAGAGTAGAGACAATACTTAATTATTGTCATCAAACTTTCTGTAAAAAAATACAGTAAGTCCATCAATCAATCAAGAAATACAAATCTGAACAAGAGCAAAATTAGCTAGAAGAACAGAAACAAATGAATCCCAAACAGTGTTCACCAAATAGAATTCTATAGTAAACACAGACTCAACATAGCAGAAAATAGGACATTATCTTTACTGTAAATGGAGAGTAACTAGTCATAGTATATAGCTAACAATGTAATATAGAAAATCTAAATAACATTGCCTTTCTTGAGAACATGAAACTATGAAAACATAGATAAGCCTGAAGAAATGATGTGCCCCATAATGAAATACATAATTATTTCATAATGAGCACTTGGGTTTCAAGGGATAGATTATTATTGCAGGTTAAAAATATGGTTCAGGTCTATAACATAATATGATCTGCTGTTCACTGTAAACAACACTGCTTCTTTGTCTGACTCTTCTTACAATAGAATGAAAACTAACTTATGGGTGAAATATTTGCACAAATAGATTATGTTTGAGATTATTCTGTCTTTCAACCATGAATTTGGTTATAACATAAATAACAGTACACAAAACTATAGTACAACATATATTGATTCACAGTCAAACTCAACAGAAAGAAAAACAGGTTTCTAAAATATGTCAACATGAAGTACACTCAAACACAGAGGACCAGTATCAAACAGAAAGTGTGGCAGACCAAGAGGGCTCAGAAAATATCTGGGCTCAGGGTGGGAACTAAGGTTTTGGAGACAAGGCAGGTAAAGGGAGTATAACTGTAGACTTTCAGGAAAGGAAGCATTTTCACAAATCAAAAAGGATTGCTATGTAGGTGAAAGGAAACAATCAATCAAAACTCTCTGGTAACCATGGCAAACAGTTTTGTTGCCCTCCTTAGACTGAATTTCTACATACAAACGCCGAACATCACACAAAGTCTAACACGAATTATTAGTAATATTCAGCAGTGTTAATAAAGCATAAACAGTGACCACATAGAATTCCAAATATAGAATATCCTTAATTAGAATTCTAAATTAAAATATCCTAAAACATGAGAATGGTTTACAAGAGAAAACATGTCAATGTAAGTTGACCAAGCTTGGGGGTCAAACCAAACAATATAAAACAAAACAAAGAGATGATAGTTTGAAGAAGACACAATTATCTACACAAAGAAACAAAAAAAAAAATAATGACAGTATTAAAACCATAAGGCTATAGCAGGGTTTCTAGAATAAAGGTAAATATATAGAAACCATAAAACTCTTTTTTGGTATCAATAACAACTGGTTAAAAATTTAACATGGAAAATTTCATTGAAATTAGCAATGAAACCATTATATAGCAAGATATAAATCTATAAAGCTGTGTGGTATGTTTCAGGGCTTACCTGTAAAGGAGTACTCTATGTAGAATCCAGTGTATTCAACACGCTCATTGGAAACGAAGTGTATCCACACCTGAGGGTAGGGGACAACCAAGGGTATCGCTGGTGCGGACAGGCTGCAGAACTTCTCTATCAGAGGCCCATCAGCATCACCTGAAGAGAACAATATCCCAAATGGCATTGTTTATATGGTTTGGACAAATATCTTCAATTAGTAAGAACAAATAATTATAACAACAGAAAGCTCTGCTTGATACATTTCACTTCTGGTACATTAGCAGGCATTTCCAAAAATCCTCTATTATCTCTGTCAATTGCACAGGAAAGAGTTCTCCAACATGATTTTTGGGCTTAGAGACACCCTTACTATCAGTGACAATTTATATCTTTATAATTACTTTACTTTCACATATATAAACAGAGGTGCAACCAACTTAATATTTTTTTTTTTAGTGGAGTGCTTTTTAAAGGAGGTAGAAATGTAATGCCAATAGTGATACCAAAAGCACTCTTAGGATAAAGGTGATAATTGCCTAAACTTCTTAAGATTCTTCATTGCATTTGATCATCTAAAATGTCAGAACATTTGGCACTTAGGCCAAGAACTGTCAGGGTTGAGATGATCACGTTTCATGAAGATTGCTTTTCATAGAAATTTGATTAACGTTTACAGAGAACCTGCTCCCTATTTATCCCATCAGGTCAACACCACTAACCTTATACATCAATGAAAGAGAGCATTTCTACTGTCTGCCTGTAAATCAGGGTGAAAAGAGAGAAGACTGAATTTAACTAACTGAAATTCAATATACTGCTGTTTTGCTTTATTCCATGAATGGTCTGGCACCAGGCAGAGATAGTAAGTGCTTATGAGCATTTCATGACAGCATCCTTGAACAGCCACTTCCAGTTTTAGACTCTTTTGCCTTGAAGAGCTGTGATGATTCTCTGCAAAAATCCCTGATCTGTGACCACAGATCATATCAAAGCCTTTCATAAAACCTCTGTCTTCAGTGTTCTCAAAGGAGGTCTCCAGTGACTGGGCAGGTCTCCTCAAGTTTGGTCTTTGTGCAGGACTGCTATGGTGCATCTCGGCCCTACATTATTTTATTAAGACTGGATGGAAATTATCTCTAAAAGTTTAAAGATGAAGCAAAATATTTAACCCATTTGATTTCTTAAAAAAATTTTACCTCCTATTTGTCAACTTGCTCCTTAGCCTGACAACACTGCACTATTATCGCCATGACATATGGTACAACTTTACTTTCTGCATAGACACAAATGTTTCTTCCTTGCTGCTTAATAGCGTTTGTGTATCCACACTGAGACTGTTACTCTTCTCTGTATTTTCTCCTACTCAAAAGTTTGTGAGAGACCTTTGCAGAATAACTCCCTTCCCTAAAAGTAAAGGTGTTAATAATAACAATGGCAATAATAATAAAAAGCAGCTACCACTCACTATGATAGTTGTTGACCAAGTTCTGAGGTCAGCTTTCTTTTCTTTAAAGTTGGGGATTAAGGAAAACAGAATCAGCATTTGACAGCATAAGTCACTTATAACACTATTTTTCTCCTCTGTCTATTTCTTTACTGAGAAACAAGTGTCAGTATGACAATGGGGGCATCCTAACCGGATTATGCTTGAAGAAGGAAAAGGTGTCTTGGGAGCAGTATGGTTCATCAGATATGCCTTAAGCCTTTTATATCATGAAACAAGATGAATCATGACTTTGAGAATAATTTCCCAAATAGCTCCCATGTACTTCTCCATGTTGGTACGCTGCGGAAGGTTTTTAAACTTCTAAGGTTTAAACAACCTACATGTGAGTCCTGCAAGTTTAGGCAACTACTGAGTGTCCAGCCACACTAAGCTTAGTCTCGTAGGATGAGTGGAACACACTGATAGGACAGAGACTGTCTGGAATCCATACAGGACTCCTGAAATAGAAGCTCCCCTTGGTCAGGACCAGCTTCACTGACAGCTCATCGGCCACATTTCCTATCTGGAAACGCAGGATTTCGGCTTTGTGTTGACAAAGCTCTTTTCCATCTTGTGTACCAAGATAGTAGCATTTGACTCCTACCGTTGTTTCCAGGAATAAAGATAATAGGCAGACACATGAGAAAATACTTTCTTTGATTGAACTCACCTACTCGAAACTCTAGGACATCAAATATGCAATCTTGATGATTTTCAATTGAAAATTCTAGAAAATTAATGATAATTGATGAATTTTCCCTATTCGGATTACTGAGAGTCCATTCACAGTCTAGGTTTCTTGCATAGTCACGGATTCCATTGAAGCCAGGAGAAGAAAAGTTTCCACCAGAGACACTTGGAAGAGATCCACCGCACACTAGGGCAACAGAGGGCACAGAGAGAACAGTAAGGTCCGTGTTGTAACTAACATGTGACTCCAACAGTCAAGGCCTAGTGAGTTTACGAACACTGCATCGATTTGCTTTTCTAGATTTAGTTTAGCTAGTAGACAAGGCACATGCAAACTATAGGCGAAATGCCTTTGGGTTCATGAAGGAAAAACACACAAAACAAAGGTCCTTTATTTCTCTTCTGGGAAAGAGAAGATGACTGTGGTTTGGTTATGTATCAGTATCTTCAAAATTGGATGTATTGTTCACTTAATATTTAATTTAGAAAATACACAAACCATGGTAGGTCCTAGTGGCTTTCAATGAACAATTTTCTATTTGATCCAATAATTTATTTGCATCAAATAGATAATATAACATTGAAGTGCCAACAAATCCACTCTTTTTATACGGTAATGAATGTCCCTTAAACCAATAAAATAAATAAAGCAATTTTTTGAAGATGTATTTACTTCCATTCTTTCTAAATTACAAAACCTTTGGACCTTTTGGACAGCGGTCTAAAAGCAAGAGGATACTTAAAATCTAGGCCACATGTTGCTTAATTTTGGAGTAATCTATATTAACTGCAACCTCTTTATTCTTTTCATTGAAAAAAAAACACATACAAGTAGATGAATAAAATAATAACATGTATTCAGTTGTCTGTGAAATTAATTACTCGTTGGTTCTAAATTACTAGGAAGTATATGTTTTCTTCAACACAAAATAATGAATCAGAGACTGTGGGTTAAGATTCAATCCTAGCAGTAGTTTCACATAAAATCATGCTAGAAACTAATCTAATAAAACTTTGTTGTAAAAAATATATTCAAAATGCAAGTTCTTTTTTTCTGAAACTACAATGGCTGCCCCCCCCCCCCAGTATTTCTCCCCACAAGCAGATTTTTTAATTTCTTCATATATGTTACCCTTGTATTGAAGGTTCCAAGTATGTATTGATCACTAATGAAAAAACAGAGGGCTGGGCCATTGGGGGCGGTGTTTGCGGGGACATTGAGTGAGTCTGACCCAGGAGGTGCAACTGCAGGCAGCAAGCTCTATTACCTGCGTCTTCATCGGAGGTGTAGGAAGCAGTGAAGCCTCCAAACGGCTGGGATCCATCAGTGAAATACAGGACTTTCATTGTGTTTCCTGAAGATTTGAACTCACTGGTTACACTCACTCGGCTGCACAGCTTCTGCAGTTGGGGTGAGTTACTTCTAATGCCATTGAATACCTGTTAGGAAAATAGTTTGACTTGTAGCTGTGCTGCCCACCTTACTGAATATCCCTCAGGAGATGGACGTCTCAGCTCGGCCTCACAGCCTTCCAAAGAAACCACAGTTAACAGCAGAGACAGCTAGACCAGGACGACAAGCCTCTGAGCCACCCGACCTATGTGTGACAGATGAGGGGGTAAGCGTGCACTGTGCAAATAGAAACCCTACTCTGTGTGGGAGCTAAGTGTGCCACTCTGTCTTTTAATACTCCAGAGTTCGCTGACACACAGGTTTTTTTATATCAAGCCCTGGGGGCTTTAGCATATGACGTTAAACATTAGTCTAAATTATTCCAAGTGTATAAGCACTCATCTGCTCCAAATACGTTGAAAAGTGATTTTCTTTGCTGCTTTAGTTAGATGTACTTGCACGTATCTGGGTGTGGCTCAGTGCACATCAGTGCCCGCAGAGGCCAGAAGGCCAGAGACATTGGAGTTGCCTGGAGCTGTAGTTACAGTTTGTTGTGAATGTCCAAAGTGCCTACCGCAAACTCAACTCCAGTCCTCTGCAAGAGTAGTACATGCTCTTAATCATGAGCCAGTTCTCCAGTGCCCCTCGAAAAGTAATATATATATATATAAAAAAATCTATCTTTGTGTAAGTATAATGGCTCCTTCTTATTTATAGATTTACAGGTTCTACATTCTTACTCATTTGATTTAACTGTTTTATTTTTGAGATTATAATATAATTGTAACAGTTCTCTACTCTCTTCTACCCTTCAAGCCCTCCCTTATACTCCTCCCCACTCTCCTTCAAATGCATGGTTTTTTGTTTTTTTTTTTTTACTAATTGTTTTTGCATGCATATATGTTTATGCATAGATGTTCCTAAATATCTTTGTGGAGTCCATTTAATGTTACTTGTATGCATGTTTTCAGGGCTGACTGGCACTGGACAACTGACTGGTGTGCTCTTACTCATTTGCCTTTGAAAAACGGTATTATTGCTGCTACCAAAGTACAATTAATGGCTTTAGTTACAACTGGTAAAGTTGAATGCTCCTGCTCAAAGTCTTGTGAATGCTTTCCAGTGTTCAGAAACTATTCTAAAGAAAGAAAGAGTGAATTACTCAGTGATTGATATTCCTATTCTTTAAAAGGATTTGAATGGCTCACAATTAGAAATAACATCACTAAAAGTTTTGTAGAAATAGGGAATGTTCTACTCCACGGGATGTAAGCTTTTCCATTTACCATAATTAATGACTGAACTTAGCTCTTTGGTGGATTCAGGTTAAAAGTGCCTTCCAGCTACGGAACCAGAGAAATTGTGCAGCTTCAAAGCCAGACTCTACTAATTGCCTACACAGATTTCTTTTTATCTGATCATTACCATGCCTCTCTCTCTCATTCTCTCTCTCTGGCATGTATTAGGATTCCATTTTCCAAATGAAGACAGTAGAGTACAAAGATCTGTAGTTTGTTTAAATTCCAAGAACTGGGACTATTTGAATTTGGATCCATTCAAATATCAAACCACAAAACAATGCAACAAAAGACAATACATATTTCATGGTGCTATGAACAGGAATGGGTAATGGGTTCTCAGAATCAAAAGAGCTTCTCACCAACACAGGATGGATGGGACATGTTGTAGGCACTGACCCATGTGGTCTCGGCTGCCTCTTTCTGCATCTCCCCGTGGCATAGAACTTTAATGTGCAATCACCTAGTTAGTGCAATCACTTCTGTCTGCATTTAGATGCAACCAGTGTGAGCTCATCTCTTGTCCCCTAATGTCTTTTAGAGTCAGAAACACCAAGCCTCAGAATACATAAGACAGGAGCAGACACATGACAGTCAAGACAGAATATAAGCGAGGCTATGAGCAAGAACAAAATTGTACATTTGTGTCATGACTCCACATGTTGTGTGGTGCAGACTTTCCTTGCCTCCAACCGAGCCATTGGATTGGTTGCTGGGTTTGGAGGAGTTTCAAGCTCAGTACAGCTGGGTGTGGTGTTCAACAAGCAACAGTATGCTTAAAGTTTCCCATGGCACCTGAAAATTTTAGCTTTTCTGTCCCTTTTTTTGGACAAGCATTTAAGTACACAGACGGTGGCAAAAAAGGCAATTTATACACTTGTTTGGAGTAAAGAGGGGGAAAGTAAACATCAAGGCATAAAAGTGATTTAAAGAAATGGAATTCATTTCTTCAATGTTTCTCTGCCATTCGATATTCCTCTACAGAGAATTCTCTGTTTAGCTCTGTTCCCGATTTTTTAATTGGATTACTTGGTTTGCTGCTTTTCATCTTCTTTAGTTCTTTATATATGCTGGACATTAGCCCTCTGTCAGATAAAGGGTTAGTGAAGATTCTTTCCCAATCTGTAGGCAGTCGCTTTGTTTTGATGATGGTGTCCTTTGCTTTACAGAAGCTTTTCAGTTTCATGAGGTCCCATTTATTGATTGTTGCTCTTAGAGCCTGTGCTGTTGGTTTTCTGTTCAGAAAGTTGTCTCCTGTGCCAATGAGTTCTAGGGTATTCCCCACTTTTTTTTCTAGCCGATTTAATGTGTCTGTTTTTATGTTGAGGTCTTTGATCCACTTGGATTTCAGTTTTGTGCAGGGTGATAAGTATGGATCTATTTTCATTTTTGTACATGTAGACATCCAGTTGGACCAGCACTATTTGTTGAAGATGCTATCTTTTTTCCACTTGAAGAAATGCTCAACCTCATTAGCCATTAGGGAAATGCAAATCAAAACAACCCTGAGATTTCACCTTACACACATCAGAATGGCCAAGATGAAAAACTCAAGTGACAATACATGTTGGAGAGGTTGTGGAGAAAGGGGAACCCTCCTCCACTGCTGGTGGGAATGTAAACTTGTACAACCACTCTGGAAATCAATTTGGCGCTTTCTCAGACAACTAGGAATAGCGCTTCCTCAAGATCCAGCCATACCACTCCTAGGCATATATCCAAAAGAGGCTCAAGTACACAAAAAATGACATTTGCTCAACCATGTTTGTATCAGCCTTATTTGTAATAGCCAGAAGCTGGAAACAGCCCAGATGCCCCTCAACTGAAGAATGGATGCAGAAACTGTGGTTCATCTATACAATGGAGTATTACTCTGCAATGAAAAATAAGGAAATCATGAAATTTGCAGGTAAATGGTGGGACCTGGAAAGGATCATCCTGAGTGAGCTGTCCCAGAAGCAGAAAGACACGTGTGGCATATACTCACTCATATAGACTTATAGGATAAACCTAAAATCTGTCCATCTAAAGAAACTAATCAAGAGAGAGGACTCTAACTAAAACGCTCAATCCCCATCCAGAAAGGCAAAGAGGATGGACATCAGAAGAAGAAGAAAGCAGGAAACAACCTAGGAACCTGTCACAGAGAGCCTCTGAAAGGCTCTGCCCTGCAGACTATCAAAGAGGCTGAGACTTTATGACCAAGTGTTGGGCAGAGTGCATGGAATTTTATGTAAGAAGTGGGAAATAGTAGGTTATGGAGAGGACAGGAACCCCACAAGGAGAGCAACAGAACTAGAAGATTTGAACACAGGGGTCTTCCCAGAGACCCATACTCCAACCAAGTACCAGACATGAAGATATCCTAGAACCCCTGTGCAGATGTAATCCATGGCAATTTAATGTCTAAGTGGGTTACATAGTAATGGGAAGAGGGACTGCCTCCGACACAATCTGATAGGCCTGCTCTTTGATCACCTCCCCCTGAGGGGAGAGCAGTCTTACCAGGCCACAGAAGATGACAATG